TCTCGAGGATAAGATCTACGAAAAGGAAGAAAAGTTTCTCTTCCGCAGTTTATTAATTCAAAATAATTATATTTGAACAACTTGATGATGAATTTAAACGGCGGAAGCCGCGAGTCACCTGTGCGGTTTGACTCGGAAAGCCGTGCTCGGGTTTTCGTGCAGCCCCTGCAGATCTAGTGAAACAGAGAGAAAAATCCATTCTGAATCTGTTTTTTGCAACATTTTGAATTTATTTGACCCACTTAACTCGCGTTGATGCAACTTTTTGCAAATTTGGCGGAGCTTTCTCTGATGCAGATCGGCGCCTGCAGTTTCGGCGGCGCCAGGTGTCTGTACACCGCAAGTTGAACTTGCAACTTCGGGCGATCTCCGGCCATTTAGTTATTTTCCTTTCTTATTCCTCCAAACTCTGCTAGTATTCCCTTTGCCATTACTTTTTCTGCTTCTTTTGCGGCATTTTTCGAATGATCTTTGGTTGAATTCCAGAGTCGCTCGTTCCACTCTCCCGAGGCCGATCCGCCTCGATGTGATTTCCCGCTGATTCCGCGCCTCTGAGCGGCGATCTTCTTCTTTCCACTGCTGCTTTTCTTTTCTTTTCTTTCAAAAACTTTATAATTCAGACTTTGCTGCCGACTCATGGGAAAAACGCCGCCTCTTCTCCCCCCCAAGACCCCCAATGCAAGTTGAACAGCGCGAGGCAGGCGCCGCTGCCTCGCGCGAGACAGCGCCCAGCCCGGAACCTCCCGCTGCTGCTGCTGCTGCTGCTGCTGCTGCTGCTGCTGCTGGAGGTCCGCAAGAAAATGGGGACTCCGAGGGGCCACGGCCTTCGTTTGGCTCCGCCTCATCTCGCAGGGGAAGGCCAAAAGGCGAAAACTTTGCAATTCAAATAACTCCAGACGATGCTTCAGAGTGTTCTCCTCTGCTGAATCCCAGCAGCGTGCTGGAGCCCCCGCTTGCTGCGCCTGCAGCGCCGCTGCAGGCCCCCCCGCCCGCAGCAGCAGCAGCAGCAGCAGCAGCAGCAGCAGCAGCAGCAGCAGCAGCAGCGCGGCTGGACTCGTGCTACGCGTGCGCAGCAGAAGACAACTTCGTGAAGACCATTATGATAATGGACCACCGGCGGCTCACGCGGCAGCTGCGGGGCCTCCGCAGCAAAACGCCCCACAAACAAGTGCTGCTGATGTCTCTCTTTTGCTGCTTGCTGCTGCTCTGCAGCAGCGCCTACTTCGAGGACTCCGGCACTTCCTGGAGATTCGGATTTCTCGTCAAGTTCGGCGGACTCCAGAAGGGGCCCGCGCTCCTCGCCGTCAGCTGCTGCTGCTGCTGCTGCTGCTGCTGCTGCTGCTGCTGTTGCTGCTGTTGCTGCTGCTGTTGCTGCTGTTGCTGCTGCTGCTGCTGCTGCGTTTTCTCTTTGTTTCGCATTTTGGTTTTTCTTTTTTGTTTTCCCCATTTCGCCCTTTTGGTCTCTTCTGCTGTCTTCGGACTTTCTTAAGTTCCCTCTTTGCTGCTTTTATTTTCTTTTTATCTTTTTTGTCTTTTTTGTTTTCTCTTTGTCTTTTGTTCCCCTTTCATCTTCTCTCTTTTTCTTTGTTTGCGTCTGTCTATTTACTTTCTGGTGCTTGCTGCTGCTGCTGCTGCTGCTGCTGCTGCTGCTGCTTCTACGATTGCTGCTGCTGCAGCTGCTGCTTCTACGATTGCTGCTGCTGCAGCTGCTGCTGCTGCTGAGACAGATGCTGCTTTTGGCTGCCGTTGCTGCTGGCGCCAGTTTGCTGCTGCTGCTGCCGCTGCGCCTCTGAGGACTCGTGTTGCTGCTGCTGCTGCTGCTGCTGCTGCTGCTGCTGCTGCTGCTGGTTGTTTGCTGCGTGCAGGTTTTTATTCTTCTTTGCGTGGCTTTGCTGCTGTCGCACTTGGTGGCGCGGCTGCCGCTGCAGTTGGGGTTTGAAGTCCTTTGCTGCTTCATTTTGGGGGTTTGCATTTACGTGTTGGTTTCGTTTTGCCGGCAGCAGCAGCAGCAGCAGCAGCAGCAGCGGCTGCTGGAGCTGCTGCTGGTGCTCTTTTTGCTGCTGCAGCTCTCCCTCTACTGCTGCTTGCGCCTAACTCTTCTTCTTGCTGCAGTGCTGCCAAAAGGCTTTATTTTCTTTTGCTGCTCCGGCAGCCTCAAACGCATCCAAACCACTCCCACCAGCGTCGTCTACTCCAGATACAACGACGGCGCAGGTTAGGGTTTAGGGTTTAGGGTTTAGGGTTTAGGGTTTAGGGTTTATGGTTTAGGGTTTGGAGTTTAGGGTTTAGGGCTTAGGGGCTTGAGGAGTTGGGAGTGCTGCGCGTGAAGGGGGATCTTATCTGGCAGGGCTCAACGTCAGCAGGGTTTAAAGTTTAGGGTTTAGGGTTTAGGGTTTAGGGTTTAGGGTTTAGGGTTTGTTGGTTGCTGCAGCCTTGCTGAGCAACAGCCACTGCGTGTTGGTGGGGTGTTGCGTGCGGAGTTTGCTGCGGAGTTGCTTGAAGCTGCACGCGAAGCTGCGTCGCTGCTGCTGCAGCAGCAGCAGCAGCAGCAGCAGGGGCTGCTGCTGCAGCAGGCGCCGCGCGCCCCCCCCGCCCGCAGCAGCAGCAGCAGCAGCAACAGCAGCAGCAACAGCAGCAGCAGCAGCAACAGCAGCAGCAACGGGCCGCCCGCGTTTGTCGATAACGCGAATGCTGAGTTCGTTTGAAGCGCCGGAGTGGGCGGTCGCAGCGTCGAGCGGCGCTGCTGCTGCTGCTGCTGCTGCTGCTGCTGCTGCTGCCACCGTAGCAGCAGCAGCAGCAGCAGCAGTTAATGCAAATGATGCATTTTTCGAATCCTTTTCCAATAAATTTTCTTATCAACTTCGATTTAAAGGCAGCAGAGACTCGCAGGGGCGGCCCCACGGCTACGGGGAGTGGCTGGAAGATCACAAACTGGGCGAGCGCTTTCAAGTCAAATCCACAAAATCTTTTCTTTTTTTTGTCTTTTTCTGCTTTTAAAAGCTCTTTTTAATCCCTTTTTTCTCCTTTGTTTGGTTTTATTTTCTTGCTTTTTATTTTCTCTTTTTAAATCCTTTTTTTGGCCTTTTAAAAACTCTTTTTCGCCTTTTTTGGGCCTTTGTTGAGCTCATTTCCATCTACTTCCATCGATTTCTTTTAATTGTTTTTATTTGCTTTTTCTTACTCCATTTAATTGCTTTTGTTTGCTTCTTTATTTGCTTCATTTAATTGTTTTATTTGCTTTTTATTTTATCCTTTTAATTGTTTTTATTTCGTTTTTGTGTACTCTTTTTGAACATTTTAAATTGCTTTTTAATGGATCTTTGTGCACATTTTTCTCTTTTTTATTTTCTCCCTTTGGCCCCTTTTATTTGCTCTTAATTGGAGTTTTAATTTCTTTTATTTGCTGCAAAGGAGGCACTAGAATAAATGAATTAATTGAAAAACAAACTTTTAATTTTAATTTATTTAATTTTCCTTTTAGGGTTTGTGGATTCACGGAGAACCTGTGGGGCCTTTTATTTCCCAAGAAGTTGGAAGTGGATCTGTTTTTGTTTGTTCCCGAGTGGGCTTTTGTGCTGCTGGCCTGCCGCCCTGCAGCAGCAGCAGCAGCAGCAGCAGCAGCAGCGGGGGGGGCGACGCGGGCAGCTGCTGCTGCAGCAGCAGCCAGCTGCGCTTCGGAGTCAGCAGCACAGAAGTCAGCATCAGCGGCCACTACTTTGCTTGCTTTCCTAGGACTCGATTTTTCGATCCAGCAGCAGCAGAGCTGCTGCTGCTGCAGCGGGAGCCCCCAGCAGCAGCAGCAGCAGCAGCAGCAGCAGCAGCAGCAGCAGACCGGGAGAAGCTGCTGCGGGCGCTGCTGCGCAAAAGAGTCGAGGACTGCAGCAGCTGCTGCAGTCCGCAGCTGTGTCTGCGGCTGCTGCAGGAGCACAGCTACGAGCGGCGCAGAGATGCTGCTGCTGCTGCTGCTGCAGCAGCAGAAGCAGATGATGACTTTCTGGAAATACGGATCGACAGAAACACAAAAGGAATTCGAATTCCAGGATATAAATTCAAAAAAAGAAAAAAGGAAGCAGCAAAAGAAGAAGAAGTTCCTTACCACGTGCTGATCTTGTGCACCAACAGGCCCAAGGAGCAGCAGCAGCAGCAGCAGCAGCGCAGCAGCAGCAGACGCAGCAGCAGCAGCAGCAAGTACACGCACTTCAACAGCATCCTCAAAAGCTCCTCTTTGAGATTCAAGAGGAAGCAAAAAGACAAAAGAAATAAAGACCCAACAATCAGGGAAAAGAGGCCCCAGGGGGCCCCCCTGAGGGGCCCCCCAGAAGCCGCAGCAGCAACTGTTGCTTCTCCTGCTGCTGCTGCTGTTGCTGCTGCAGCTGCTGCAGCTGCTGCAGCAGCAGACGACGACGAGGGCGCCCGGGCCCGCAAATGCAGCAGCAGGAGCAGCAGGAGCAGCAGGAGCAGCAGCCGCAGCAGCAGCTGCTGCAGCAGCAGCAGCAGCAGCAGCAGCAGCAGCAGAAGCTGGTTCGATGAAGACCCCGACTTCGGGGGGCCCCCCGGGGGCCCCCAGGGGCCCCCTGCTGCAGCAGCAAATCGGCGAATGACCCAAAAAGGAAAAAATAAAATAATTTCAAAAAGAAGAAAATTAGAAAATAAAAAAAGCAAACAAGAAGCACTTTCGCAGTTCTTCAAAGACGACGATGAGGTAGTTTTAATTTTTTATTTTATTATTTATTTGTTTATTATTTATTTATTTATTTATTTATTTATTTATTTATTTATTTATTTATTTATTTATTATTTATTTATTTATTTATTTATTTATTTATTTATTTATTCATTTATTTATGATTTATTTATTATTTATTTATTTATTTCTGCTTCTCTGTTTTGCTTCATTTTGTTTATTTGCTTTTAATTTATTTGTTTTTTATTTTTAATTTTATATCTTTCTTTTTTGCTATTGCAAGTCAGTAGCTTTTGCAACTATTCTGCTTCTTGTAATGCTGCTGCTGCTACTGCTGCTGCTGCTGCTGCTGCTGCTGACACTGCAACCGCTACTGCTGCTGCTGCTGCTGCTGCTGCTGCTCCCCCTACTGTTGTTTCTGCTGCTGCTGCTGCTGCTGGTACCGCTACTACTACAACTGCTGCTGCTGCTACAGCTCCTGCTACCCCTACCGCTGCTGCTGCTGCTGCTGCTCCCCCTACTGCTGCTGCTGCTGCTGCTGCTGCTGCTGCTGCTGCTGCAGTGGCTGCGAGCTGAGAACTTGCTGCGGGGAGAAAGGGGGGTTTTGTTTCCTGTCGGATGGTCTCGTTTGTCGAGTGTGGGAAAGGCCCGAACAGCTGTGGTTTACATACACGGCTTCAACGTCACGCTCGAGCAGGTAAACCCTAAACCCTTTTTTAGGGTTTGGACAAACCCCAAGCCCTAAACCCTAAAACAGGGTTCACGGGCCGAGGGGTTGGGCCTCTTTTGCGGGAAGCAAAAAGGGAAAAGTGCCCCGAAAAACCCGAAGCTAAATAATCCCTTTGCTGCTGCTGCTGCCGCTGCTGCTGCTGCCGCTGCTGCTGCTGCTGCTGCTGCTGCTGCTGCTGCTGCATGCAGGCTTGTTCGCAAATGTCGCATTTGTTTTCTTTTGCACAAATGCCTTCTTATTTAATTCCTTTTGTCTTTTCTTGGAAAGGAGTTTTTGGAGGTCCTTTTTCAATGCTCTTTTACGGACTTTCAAAAAAAAGCGCCGAAAACCCCGAAACAGGTTCGCCTCCAAACCCTTTTTTAGGGTTTAGGGTTTCACCAGAGCCCCCAAACCCTTGCAGCCGGGCCTAAACCCTCAAACCCTACACCTTCTCTAGGGTTTAGGGTTTGACCTTCAGCCATTGACGTCGAGGCCCTTTTCTAGGGTTTAAAGCTTAGGCTTTAGGGTTTAGGCGGGGCTTCCAAACCCTTTTTTAGGGTTTAGCGCGTTAGATATGGAGCTCGGAAACCCACAAGGAAATTCTAGTGCTCGAGGGTTTAGGGTTTGGCAATTGGTCCAGGGTTTAGCTGGATCAGGGTTTGGCAGGCTAGGGTTTGCCGGCCCTCAAACCCTTTTTTAGGGTTTAGGCGAATTAGCGACTGCCCGTAAAGCCTTTAAAGACTTAGCGAAAATAGCGGTAGCCCTAAACCCTAAAACGGCGGATACGAAACTCTGCAGGCGAGTTAAAACCCTAAAAGAGGGTCTAAAACCCTTCAAATTCCTTCAAAGTCCTCGAAAACCCCCGAAAAGATTCAAAAAAGTTCGAAATTCTTTTTTTTTTTCAGCGGCGGCTTTCAGCCGCTTTCTGAGGTGTCTCGGCAGCTCAGGTGTATCTGCAGTTCACTTCATTTCCCACTCTGCCGGCGCCAGGGTTTTGCAAGAAGGACTTGAAAAGTGTTTGGAAAGAGGGTAAAAGCACCAAAATAATCCCCAAAAGTGTTTTTAATGCATTTAAAACATTAAAATAACCTTTAAAATGCATTTAAAAGATCAAAATAACCTTTTAATTCTTGAAAAGCGTCAAAATGCGAGCAAAAGACGCAAAATGGTCTTTTGTTTCCTGAAAAGTGTTTGAAAAAGATAAAAGAACAATTAATCTTTTGCTTCCTAAAATTTAATTAAAAAGAAAGTTAAAAGGATTAAAATAATCTCAAAAACGTTTAAAAAAAAAACAAAAATATAAAAATAAATTTTTTTGGAAAGCTTTTCGCGGCGAAGCCTGCAGCTGTACATACACCCCGGGACGTGCGGCTTCTTTTTTTCTTTTTTTTTCATTTTCTTTTTTTATTTAAATTCCTTTTTATGTCTCCGCATTTTGAAGTATTTATTATTTAAATTTATTCTTTTAAACCCGCCTTTTCACAAATGTTGTCAAATTAATTAATTTGTAGAGTTCTGTTTAATTTGAAGAATAAAAAGACCTTTAAGGTCTTAAAATGAGCTCTTTTGTCATAAAATAATCAATTTTAGACTTATTAATCAATTCTAATTCACTTAATGGCAACAAACTCCTTTTTTTAATTCCCATTTTCGCAGAGACATTCTAGAAGAGATCCTGGACCCTTCTGACGCCTTGGGGGCCTCCGGGGGGCCCCCGCGGGGCCCCACAGGGGCCCCCGGGGGGCCCCCGGGGGGCCCCTGTGAGGCCCCACAGGGGGCCCCCAAGGGGGCCCCCAGGGGGGCCCCCAGGGGGGCCCCCGGGGGGGCCCCCGGGGGCCCCAAGAAGATGCGAGTTTTGTCAATTGTGATGCTGAGTCCAGACTATCCTTTGAAGAAGTTTGTGGGGAAAAGTTATTCGATTTCTCGTCGGTTTTGTTCTTTTATTTCCATTTATGGAGACACTAGGGACCAGGTAATTTGCAAGAAAGTGGAAGAAGTTATAAAAGAAAGAAGTGAATTATAAATGCCAAAAAAAAGAAAAGAAATTAAAAAGAGGAAGAAGTAGTAAAACAAAGAAGTGAATTATAAATGCCAAAAAAGAAAAAAAGAAATTAAAAAACGGAAGAAGGAATAAAAGAAAGAAGTGAATTATAAATGCCAAAAAAGAAAAAAAAAGAAATTAAAAAGAGGAAGAAGTAATAAAAGAAAGAAATGAATTATAAATGCCAAAAAAGAAAAAAAGAAATTAATGGATTTAAATAAATCCATTTAGTTTAATTGAGTCAATTTAATTCAAACAACTTGATTCAAATGATTAATTGAATTTAAATGAATTAATGCAATTTAAATGAATTAATTTGATTTAGTTTAATTAATTTAAATAATTAATTTAAATAATTAATTTAAATAATTAATATAAATAATTAATATAAATAATTAATATAAATAATTAATTTAAATAATTAATTTAAATAATTAATTTAAATAATTAATTTAAATAATTAATTTAAATAATTAATTAATTTAATTTAATTTATTTTATTTCTACAGGCCCTCGCCTTTTCGGAGTTGTACAACAGAGAGCCCTGTATGGGAAAAAGACTTTTTTGTCTTCACTCCGGATCGAAAGAAAATGAAAATAAAAATGAAAAAAACAAAACAAGAAACTCCAACTCGCAGCAGCAGCAGCTGCTGCAGCAGCAGCAGCAGCAGCAGTTGCTGCTGCTGCAGCAGCAGCTGCTGCAGCAGCAGCAGCGGGACGCAGCCGCTGCTGCGCCCTCAGCGCCAGCAGCAGCAGCAACAGCAGCGGAAGAAGCCCCGGCAGAAGCAGCAGCAGCAGCAACTCTAGCTGACGCAGCAGCAGCAGCAGCAGAAGCAGCACCAGCACCAGCAGCAGCAGCAGCAGCAGCAGCAGCTGCAGCAGCAGCAGAAGCAGCACCAGCAGCAGCAGCAGCAGCAGCAGCAGCAGCAGCAACAGAGTCAAACTGGCTCGACTTGGATGTAATAGACACCACCTTTGTAGAGGGACACATGGACTTCTTGAAGTAAACAATTAAAAAAATAAATTAAATTAAATAAATTAAATTAAATAAATTAAATAAAATAAATTAAATTAAATAAATTGAATTAAATAAATTGAATTAAATAAATTAAATTAAATAAATTAAATTAAATAAATTAAATTAAATAAATTAAATTAAATAAATTAAATTAAATAATAATAATTAAACAATTAAAACAAATAAAAACGAACAAATAAAATAAAATAAACAAAAAAACAAAATAAAATAAACAAATATTTCTTTTTTGTTTTTGGAGTTGTGGGGCCCCCCTGGGGTCTTTTTTTTCGGTTTTTGCTGCTGCCAGCACAGTTTGCTGCTGCGGTTTCGAATCTGCTGCTGCTGCTGCTGCTGCTGCTGCTGCTGCTGCTGCTGCTGCTGCCAGACATTCCATTTACCAAGCCAACCGCGAAGTCATGGACGACATTCGCGAAGTCATAGTCAAAGGCGCCCGGGCCAGCGCGCGCCGCGCCCGCCTCGAGCGGCGAAGGGGAAATGTCTTTTGCTTCCGAGTGGCCCCAGCAGCAGTTCGAAGTCTCTATGGATAGTACCCACTTGGGGGCCCCTTGGGGGCCCCCGGGGGCCCCCTGGGGGCCCCCGGGGGGCCCCCTGGGGGCCCCGGGGGCCCCCAAAATGCCCCTACTCCTCGAGGCCTCAAGTTCCGGAAAAGCGGAGTTTTTTGAGCTGGTTTCACTGCGTGGCTTAGTTGTTGTCAATTATAAATAAACAAACAAATAAACAAACAATAAATAAATAAAAGAATATAAATAAATAAATAAATAAATAAATAAATAAATAAATAAATAAATAAATAAATAAATAAATAAATAAATAATGTTTTTAATTGAATAGTTGTAATTAATTGGTTTAAAAGGATTGAAAAATGACAAAGTTGGCGTTTTTGTTCGTTAGGAATTTCTCCAGCAACAGCCGCGGTCACTCTCAGCTGCCGTTTACTGCTGCGTTTTGAAGCAATTAATGGACCAATTGGTTCGATTTGAATTAAATAATTCATTTTTTAATTTATTTTTGATTTATTTGTTCTTTTTTGCGGCGGTTTGCGCGCTTTTAGGGCCTCTTTGCCCGTTTTTGCCTCGCGAGCTCTGGGGCTTGAGAGCCCGCTGGCGCGGCTGCATGAGTTGCTGCTGAACTGGGCCATTTTGCGCTCTTTTGGGGGTTTTTAAACTCCAAAAAAGTGAAATAAATCAAATATAATCATTTATTCGCGACTTCCGCTCTTTTAAACTGCTTTTCCCGCCACAGGGGCCCCCAAATTCCCGCTGGGGGGCCCCGGGGGCCCCTGCCTATACACCCGGGGCCCCTGTCCATACACCCCAACTATGCACTTTCTCCCCTCAAAATGTACCTCCTGAGGGGCCCCCTGAGGGATCGCCAGGGGGCCCTTGGGGGGCCCCTGAGGGGCCCCCTGAGGGCCCGCCAGGGGGCCCTTGGGGGGGCCCCCAGGGGCCCCCCAAGGTTTGGGCTGGCCCCTGCTTCTGGGGGCCCCCACGGGGGGCCCCCAGCTCCAGAGGGGGCCCCCCAGCTACGGGGGGCCCCCCAGATAGCTAGGGCCCTGCTGCTGCAGAGGGGCCCCCCAAACCCTCAACTGTACCCTTTTTGTGGGGGCCCCCGCAGCAAGCAGCAGCTCCGCTGCTTCAGCAGCAACTTGGGGGCCCCCCAAACGGCGGGGGGGCCCCCATCTTCCAGTACCCTTAAAGATGGGGGGCCCCCATCTTCCAGTACCCTTAAGGATGGGGTATCTTTGGGTGTTGGTTTGAATGAAGGGGGCAGCAGCAGAACAGCCGCGGGCCACAGAGGCAGCAGCAGCAGCAGCAGGACTGCCGTCGCTGCCGCCTCTCCCGTGTGTGGGTGCAGCAGCAGCAGCAGGCAGCGGAGAAACAGCAGCAGCAGCAGCAGCAGCAGCAGCAGCAGAAGAAGTGTATGAAGAGGGTTTGTGTCTGGAAATGGACAAGTTGATTTTCAGGTGTACAGACACCGAAGAGCTGCTGCGGCTTAGCGTCGCCCACCGCCGTCAGGTGTATGTACACAACTTGGTGAGCCTGCTGCAGCAGCTCACGCTGCTGCAGCAGCAGCAGCAGACACAGCAGCAGCAGCAGACACAGCAGCAGCAGCAGCAGCAGCAGCAAATGCAGCAGCAGCAACAGAAACAGCAGACGCTGCTGCAGGAGCAGCAGACGCTGCTGCAGCCGACAGAGCAGCAGCAGCAGCAGCAGCAGCAGCAGCAGCAGCAGCAAGAGGCTGACAGCAGCAAAAAGGAGACAGCTGAGTGTGGGGCCCCACAAGAAGGGTCTGGGGGCCCCCGGGGGCCCCCCGGGGACTTAAAAGACCCTTTTTGTGGGGAGAAGAAAAGGGGGGCCCCCCTTGCTGCTGCTGCTGCTTTGCTGCTGCAGCAGGGGGCCCCCCGGGGGCCCCAACCCCCCACTTGGCCCTCAAGTTTTTCTTATTTGTCTCTTTTTGGATTTCTTTCTGCTGCTGAAGCAGCAGCAGAAAGAAGCAGCAGCAGCAGGAGAAAAGAAGAAGATCTTCTCAGAGACCCCAGGCAGGCCTTTCTTTATTTCTTTTGTTTTATTTTATTTATTTATTTCTTTTTATTTCTTTTTATTTTTATTTATTTTTATTTTTATTTATTTTTGTTTTTGTTTCTTCTTTTTGTTTCTTTTTTATTTCTTTTTTTGTCTCCTTTTAATCCCCTTTTGACCTTCTTTTCATTCGTTTTTATTTCTTTTTTATTTCCGTTCAACAAATCAAGCTTTGCTGCTGCTGCTGCTGCTGCTGCTGCTGCTGCTGCTGCTGCAGGTACTTGCTGCTGCTGCAGGACCTGCAGCAAAACGCCTCTCTCCTCACTTTTGCTGCAGCAGCAAAAACAGCACTTTGTCTTTTCTTTCTTAAACACCCCCACTACCCTTTGCTTTCCGCTCTTCTTCCAAAACTCACTCCAAACAAATTCGCAGTTTTCTTCAAACAAAAAACTCTTCAAATCAAACCAGGGGGCCCCCCAGGGGCCCCCCTGGGGGCCCCCCTGGGGGCCCCCCGGGGGGCCCCCCAAGAGGGCCCTTTGGGGGCCCCTGGGGGCCCTTCAGAGGCCTCTGGGGGCCCCTCTGGGGGCCCCTTGAGTTTGGATTTGTGTGTGAGTGAAGCTGCAAAGATAGTAAAAGAAATACCTTTATTGGTGAGTTTGGCAGAAGTGTACAGATGGGCAGGGTACAAAGACACAAAACTATTTAATTTGGTGGCAGAGGCGCTGCAGTTCGCAGCCAGATGCATGCAGCAGCAGCAGCAGCAGCAGCAGCAGCAGTGGGCAGCAGGCAGCTCAGCAGCAGCAGCAGCAGCAGCAGCAGCAACAGCAGCAGCGGCAGCGGCGGCGGCCCGCCCCCTGCAGCAGCAGCCGCAGCTGCTGCCCGAGCAGCAGCCGCCGAGCCCCCCGCAGCCCCACAACCAGCAGCAGCAGCAGCAGCAGCAGCAGCAGCAGCAGCAGCAGCAGCAGCGGGAGCTTGCAGCAGCAAGCGCTGCTGCGTGCAGCCCGCAGCTGTTGTCCATTGCATTAGACATTTTGTCTCGAGTGCATTTAAAAGACCCTCGAGTCTTCAGCAATTTGTGTTTGAGTGCAGCAGCAGCAGCACCGTTTGCTGCTGCAGCAGAGCTTGCTGCTGCGGCTGCTGCTGCTGCTCGGGGGGCCCCCCCGGGGGCCCCCAGCAGCTTGCTGCTGCTGCAGGCAGTGGCGCAGCAGCTGCTGCTGCGCTTCAAAAGATTTACTTTAAGTGAAATAGAAAGCTGCTGCTCCGCCTTTTGCTGCTCGCGGCTGCACTACCCTTTGCTGCTGCAGCAGCTGGCGCTGCGGCTGCAGCAGCACTTGCTGCTGGCCAGCAGCAGCAGACAAAGTGCAGCAGTCAGCCCCAACGCCGTCTGCAGACTTCTCAAAGCTGTCACTTTCTTCGAGAGGCCTTTTGCTGCTGCAGCAAACCGCCTCCAGCCAGCAGCAGCAGCAGCAGCAGCGGGAGCAGCAGCAGCAGCGGGAGCAGCAGCAGCAGCGGGAGCAGCAGCAGCAGCGGGAGCAGCAGGCACGGCGGAGCACGCGCTGCAGCCGCTGCAGCAGCTGCTGCAGCAGGAGCAGCAGCTGCAGCAGCCGCAGCAGCTGCTGCAGCAGCAGCAGCTGCTGCAGCAGCAGCAGCAGCTGCAGCAGCAGCAGCAGCAGCGGGTAAATAACAGCGCAGAGGCGAAAAAGGGCAGCAGCAGCAGCAACAGCAGGCAGCAAATTGGCCGCCTTAAAAAAGATTAAAAACAACAAGCAGCTTTTTGCTGCTGCGGATGCAAGAAAAATGAACAAATCCTGTGCTGCTGCTGCTGCTGTCTTTGCTGCTGCTGCTTTTGCTGCTGCTGTCTTTGCTGCTGCTGCCTTTGCTGCCGCTGCCTTTGCTGCTGCTGCCTTTGCTGCTGCTGCCTTTGCTGCTGCTGCTTTGCTGCTGCTGCTTTGCTGCTGCTGCCTTTGCTGCTGCTGCTTCTGCTGCTGCTGCTGCTATTGCCGCTGCTGCTGCTGCTGCTGCTGCTGCTGCAGAGAGACACAAGTACCTGCTGTCGCTGCTGTACCGGAAAATAGGAAAAGAAACCTTTTGGGAAAAAACAAAGACAGAAGTCTTTTGGCTTTTCCTCAGCAAACAAATTCTCTTTCCCTGGCTGCGCCACGAGCTGCCGCGCAGGTGCATCCACGAAGGTCAGTGCTGCTGCTGCTGCTGCTGCTGCTGCTGCTGCTGCTGCTGCTGCTTGCTGCTTCTGCTGTTGTTGCTGGTGCTTATGCTGCTTCTGCTGCTGCTGCTGCTGCTGCTTTACCACTACTACTCCTAATACTACTGCTGCTGCTGCTGCTTTACAACTACAACTGCTGCTGCTGCTGCTGCTTTACTCTTGCTGCTGCTGCTGCTGCTGCTGCTGCTGCAGGTTTGCGTTCTTGGTGCATATCTCGAGGGGGTTTCTCTTCGGTGTATCCGGAAGAAGTGGCTGAGGTGTCTAGACAGCTGCGGGCCTTTGGAGTTTTGCATCAGCAGCAAATTGCTGTTGAAGGACTTCCGTGTCTTGTGGACATTCTCATCACTGCCAAAGACGGAAGCAAAATCGGTCTGCTGCTGCTGCTGCTGCTGCTGCTGCTGCTGCTGCTGCTGCTGCTGCTGCTGA